GAAATTCCCTTTCATTTTACACCTTATTTATCGAAATCCATAGCTCCTTAGAGCCGGCAAAAAAATCTACACAACCGTATTGTACATATTGTAGATTCTTCTTTTATATAGCTGTATGAAATTAAATAATTGTGAATGGTATTGAGATTGTTGACCGTGACTATAATATGAAAAGGAAGTGGTTATATATATATATATATATAATATTATTTTATTGGTTACGCCGACGTTTCGACCCACTTTGCTGGTCTCCAAACAGGTTTCTTTGACAGACCACTGGTATTTGTTGATATCTACTAAATAATTCATTCATTTTATTTTTTTACTAAGTACCAATTTGATGAAAACCTACAAAGTGCGTCAAAACTCGGCGTAACCAATAAAATATTATTATAATATATAGTATTTAATTTGACCGCACCGCCGACCAACTTCTTTTCATTTAGACATGAATTGGATATACTAGCTCAATACCTACGCCTCTTACATCCTCCACTCCAGGGATCGGTGTCATTGTCTTGTCAGATTTGATGACTAAGGCTGACTGGAGAAGTCTTCATTGTGAGGCCTCCATCTTGATGAAGGCAGCGTCCACAATGAGTCTTCCATTCTCCTCGGGCTATCGGTTTACATTGCTGTCTCCGCAAGTTCCCTCTTTGTTATTTTATACTTGTACCGGTACTTGTACTGGTAGACATTTGCAGAGAGGCTCTCAAGCTATCCAAAATGGAAAACTATTAATATAAAAATTTTTTTATTGGACCATATATTTTTATGTGAGTGACCTTAGCTATATATTTGAACACAGTATATTTTCTTTTTAAATTGTAATGCATAACAGCTATTAAATGTTCTTAAATAAGAAAAAAATAAGAGGAATTTATCCCTAAAAGTATTATTGTTCTTGTAATTACAGGTATTTTTTTTTCCGGCTTCAAGGACTACATATGTCATTTTATTTTATTTTTCTTCCAGATTAATTACTGTTATTAAAAAAATGAATAAAAATAAGAAAGAGATTTAAAAAATAAATAAATCCGGGATCTGCTTGACTGGTAGACTATAATGTAATTTACTTAATTAGTGTCATTTATTATACTGATAGAAATCAAATAAATAATGAAAATAAGAGAAAATTCATACATGCAGTAAACATGGCTTGAAAAAATTGAAATACAAAATAAATTGAATTAATATACAAAGGTGAAAAATACAACCATAAAACATTGGTACAAAACTTTCGACGCAGACTTTCAATTTTGGTTAGGGGGAGGCAATCTATTAAAAAAAATCTCAGGAGTTTATATTGAGAGTAAAAATGATAAGTGATTATTAATATAATAATTTTAAATCGAACAATAAAATATATATATATAAATATATACATATGTTGTTATTCTTGGCGTATTTAAAATTATGTTAACAAAGCAATTGAAATTTTTATTTTTATTTAAAGATTACATGCAGTGTGATAAACCCTCAATTCTCTGATGCTTCAAATTTGCCGCGGAAACTGTGATAAAATCTTAAAGTAAAATTGGAAAGGTGCCTATGAATGAATCCTAGGATATGCTGCTATACAAAATTATATTTTAATATTAACTAAAATTTCATTTTATTTCAATCTTAAATAGAAACATAGGGCGTGGTTAAATGTACTTCTAGGACTTAGCTTTGTCATCTAGTTGATTTTTTCTATTTACTCAATTGATTTTAGTTTACATATTTTATTCATGCTTGTAGATTAATTGTTCATGATTTAATTTAGAATAATATTAGAAATATTGGGAGGATGGGGCAATCGCTTTCCCCCTCCCCCAAGTCTGTCCCTATGCACACAACTATGAATGATCCAACGATGAATGAAAGTTATTTTAGTAGAGAGTTAACAATTTTTAGTCTTTTCTTTATTTCGAACTTTCGGGGATGCAGTTCCCTATTTAGTGACATAATTAGTTTATGTCATTACGTTAGTCAATAATCAAACACTCAACAGACATAAAGTATTTCGCAAACGTTATAAACTATTATGGATCTTGAAATGAGACGAGTAAAAATTAGTTTTAATAAATATTATCTATTGTACTAAGAATAATAAAAAATAATAATAAAACTAGAGCATAAGAATATAGATCATTTAAATCCTTTTATTTAAAAAAAAAAAAAAAAACGAAGTTGATTATGCATATGGTGATTTGTGTTCTTGGAAATATAATCAATGCTCTCGACAATTTATGAGACCCAATAAAGAAGCATTAAGTTGTGTTTTTGTGTTTTTTCCCCCTCAACACAAACTGGTCAGCTGATTAGCATAACGGATATGAGTGCAATCTGTATTCGAGGGCTGGTGCAATTTCTCTTCAAGCAGCAGAAGAATTCAGGTTGACGGGGTTCCACGTGGTGGGGGGGGGGAGGGAAGGTGCAGAGTGGCCAAATATTTGGGTGGCGATAAAAATTGCACTCACGGCTATTTGTGACGGTGCCAAGACCTCCTGTCGGAGCCAATGAAACAGAGATCGTGACAAAAGTCATTAGGGAAAAGGTGTCAAGATACTAATCCTTTGCGACATCAAAATAAATAAATATATATATATGTATATATTATTATTTATTTTCTGTTTGCTCTACAAATCTTGTATATATTTGGCCGCCTGAACCAGTCTTCTCCATCTCTGCCTATCTTGGGCTTCTGCTTTCCAATTTGCGGCATGAAGTTCAGCCGTGTCTTTGTTTATCCTGTCTATCCATCTGGTTTTTGGCCTCCCACGTGGTCTCTTGCCTACTACTCTGGCATTCATTCTTGTGTAAAGGCCTTCTAATGGATTGATTCTAGCTATATACCCCGCCCATCTTAACCTCCTTGCCTTCATGTCATGAGGTATTGACTGACCCTTTTCCTTCAACAGTTCTTTATTGTTCCTTCTCCTCCATGTATCAAGGTTCTGGTCCCATATGGGTTCTGTTATCATACGGAGAACTTTTCTTTCGATTCTCTCAATTCTGGCTTCTAATGTGCCGGTTAGAACTCTGGTTTCACAACCATACAGCAGAATCATAGCGTTGTACACCATTATTTTTAGATTTCTGGAGATTTTTCCGGATTACAGTATCCTTGAAAGAGAGAAGAAAGTCTGTTCGCACTTTTTATTCGCTGGTCTATCTCTGTTGATCATTTATTGAGGTTATTGAAGAGACAGTTATTTGAATCTGTCTACTTTCGGGTATGACTTAGAATCCACGCAGATCATGTTATTAGGGTGGATGTTTTGGCTAACTATCATGTATTTTGTTTTATCCACATTGACTTGTAGTCCGATTTGCTATGCTTCTTTTAACAGAATCCATGTGAGTCTCTCAATATCCTCTTAATTACTTCCGAGAGTATAATATATATAGAATGAATGAAAAAATCCACTAACATTAAATAAATTTTCAGTTGCAGAACCACTGAAGTAAAAAACATTAATACTAATGAAATAACAAAAAAAAATATTTAAAAAACTATCCCAAGCACTCTCTTTTGTCAGTTCTCTTGGTCCGTCCGCCATTTCTGGACGAAAGATAAGTTTATTTTTTATTATTATTTTAAATTTATTTATCCTTCAACATCTTTGCTATGTTATAATCTACCAATGTCCTCATCATATTCCTCCTCATGATTGAATATCCAATGTCTTTATTCTTTCCAGCGAAGTCTCTCTTAATATTTTCCTCATTATTCCATTCTGGAATTATTGCAATCTGTTAGCAGAAGAACTGGCTATCATGATCGAACAGCGGTGTGCCGTACGACAGAGCTGTGTTTCTTAGATCTTACTGTTTTAATTTTTCTGTCAGAATGTCTTCTATATGTTAATTTTAGTTGAAATATATACTGAAATATGTCATATATTGTCTAGTTTGAATTCATTCGAACGTTTTTCTTTTCTTTTTAGACCTATTTCTTACAGAGTTGTTCCTCTGAGTGAGAAGTAGAATTATTGTGAATTATGATACGTCGTGATGGAGGTTTTTAGGTCGATGCCTGCAAGGACATACAGAATTTCCTGTTCTCTGCCCAGTCGATAAAATTGGCCCATTACTCCTGAGGACCGGTCTCACGACCTTCGGCGAAGATGTCAGGCCGGGGTCAAGGGATTTTTATTTTTGATCCTTTTGAGATATTTCTGTCAGCTCTATACACCTCTGCTCTCATACACGAGAAATACAAAGGTCAGAAGCGTGGTTTATGACAACCGACTTCGAGGTAGTCCACGATGTAGGGTGTTGCAGCTGGATACGACCATGTTACATGTTTCGCTCGTAGGTGTAGGTTACGTCGGGATAACGTGGGAGGCTTATGCAATCGTGGTATTTTTGCATATTTAACATTTTGAGAAGGAAGATTTGTAAACTAGGGCGATTGTGCGGTAAACTATCTCTACGTAAGAGCTTCTATCGCTGGGTATAGATTGCTTTTTAATTAGTAGAGTTCTCACATTAATCATGCTATTATTAAAATAACCCGTCCATTTCACTTCATTTTATTTTGTTTCCTAACAACGATAAAATACTTCAAAGCATTATCTCACTGTATGTAGGTGTCTAGATATACATTCAACTTGTTCGCGAGCCAATTTGGGTATTCTTGCTAACCGTGCTACTTTAAGGTTCATAGTAGAAATAATTATATTGGAATCATGGAGTATCACGAATTATATTATTCATATTTTTACAATGTGATGCCGTAACAGAGATCGGATTAGTTCAAGGAGTAGGGCACTTGGCTTTAATGCTCCAGGGGTTTGGATTCGGCTTGGAGAGGTTATTATTTATTCTGTTACATCAGGATCGACGGCCAGAAGAACCTCCTGGGGCACTTTAAAGGCTAGGTAAATTTATTATTATTAAATTTAAAAATTAATATATGTATTGTTTAAAACCCATTATATATAATATCTTGTTAAAATTGAATTTTTTTGTACATCGTTTTTATTTATTTATTTTTTTTTGTTTTGCAGGTACCCATTGCGAACTTGAAGATCATTGCGCCTCTGGCCCATGTAAAAACGGTGCTTCCTGCAAATCTTTGCAGGACGGCTACCAGTGCAGGTGTGCTCCGGGCTTCCAAGGACCTGCCTGCGACGAAGACATCGATGAATGCAGGTCTCATCCTTGTCGCCATGGCAAGTGCTTCAACACGCATGGCTCCTACACGTGAGTTTATTTGTATTTTAATTAACAAATTTATTTTTTTTAAATTTTTCTAGCTATTAAGATAAGAATACCATAAGAAATGGGAAAAGCGATTTTTTTTTCAATCTTTTCTTTCCTATTATGCATAGATGTATTTAAATCATTGAAAAATAGAATCTCATAGATAAAAATAGTGAAAATTAAAATTATCATTTCAACTACTAAAACAAGGGTGTAAAATACCTTGAAGATAAATATATATGCCAAACTGGCTTTTTTAAAGGAAATGTTTAGATATCTGCATTTTTAAGTATCCTTGAAAAAAAAATACCAAAAGCTTTTATAACCGTTTTCATTAAATCAAAATTAAAAATAAATTAATTATATAGTTCCATTATTGTAAACTGATAGTTAGTTTTTTATAGTACAACATTCATACTCCATTTTCTCTCCAAAACAAACATCGAGTCTTTTGCACATTATCACCGCCGGTTATTTTTAAAAGATGAAAAAATGACTATTATAGAAAAGTATCAGTTACGTTTGAATCAATATTGTTATTAATCTATATATAAACACCTGTTAATATATTTTTTATGATTAGTGAAAACACATGATTTCTGAAAAACTTCCTTTTCCTGGTTATTCACACCGGAGTATAACCTTAACATTTGAAAGTTAACCTATATCAAAAATACGCTTAGTATATTTACAATAAGCCGTAATATTGTTATATATATATTGTTTGTTATATTGTTTTGTTGAATCTCAATATAAACAGAAAATATATATATTATTAACAATCGATAAAATATCATAACCTAAACACATGATTCCTGATAAAACTTAACGCTTTCCTTCTCTTCTGTATTCAAACTGAAATATAGACTAAAGGAGTTCATTTTGTTAACTAAATGTAACTAATACTTTTCTGTAACCGTTACTTTTTTCTATGTAAAAAGTAACTAGCGGCGATAATGTGCGAGAGACTCCATACCTCAATAAATCTTTTTTTGTTTTTGAAAACAGTACTTGAAGTTTAATTATTACCAAAATTTAGAAATAATTTTTTTTAATCATTATTGAAATAGTCAAATTTTCAAAATTGGTGCTATTTTAAATTTATTTTTTTTAAATCATTGCTTATCATATTATAATTAAAAATATAGTTTTTCTGTTTCTTGTTTTTTTTTAATGATTAGATTTTGGAATTAAACGACTCATAGGTATAAATAATGAGACAAAAAATTACGATATGACAATAGTTTTAGTTGTGTATCAGCTGATTAATACTTTATTTTGCCACTGCTTACATGATAATATTTGAAAATATTAAAGGGAGAGATACATAGCCCGATATATTTCACAATATCAATTAGGCTTCCTTCCCAGTCAGATGTGTATATATATCTTTCTCTTTCTAATCCTGATGGATTCCCTGCATAAAAAATTGCCGACGATTTATAAGGCAGAGAAAGGAAAGAAATAAAACTGAGTGATTGCCCTGAAATCCGCCTCGGTTTACAAAAGGTTACCACAGAGCGAAAGAATACCAGGAACAGGTCTCAAAGAAAAAATAGAAGGCGGTCATGAATGAGTTATGGAGTACTTTGCATAATGGACCTCTTAGATATCCTTTATAACAAACAAATCCTCCAGGACCGACTTCTTTAGATTATTATCTTTGAAAAATTAAAACTAATGGAAGCCTTCTTGAACTAGATTCGGCCATATTGAGACGGTTGTTATGAAGATTTTGATTATAGATTAAAATTACACTACTCCAAGAGTGTTGCCGTTGGTACGAGAATCCTTGTATTTCAGTACGAGGTTATGACGTACATAATTTTTGCTGACGTATGCAAAGTTATCTATTTATGAATGAAGTTAAGATTTGTTTTACAATTATTTTTACTGTGTTATTATTGATATGAAATATTTAACTTCTGTTGCTTTATAGACAAATAAATTGCAATTATATCTTATTCAATTAGAGTAGGATTATTATTGCCTCCATAAAAACGCGATTGTATATACTTGTTTTTTTAGTTTTTTTGGAAAAAAAGTTAAAAATGTTTATAATCATTTAAAAAAATATTTTCGATTTTTATCGAGTAAAAAATAAAATATAACTAAGTATATCGATTATTTTCTTCATAAAACTACGAATATCATCATCATAAAAATAAGTTCTAAGTAAGCAAAATAAAAATAAAAATATAGTAATAAAAATTAATATTTATAGATTTCAATTATATGTTTTCTAGTTCTATTATGGAGTAATAATAGTATATTTCCGTTTATTTTTTATAATAATAGGAATATTGTATCCTTTAAAAAGTTTATTTTGCTGTTTTAATTTCAATTAAAAGTTTTCCAATAGTTTCTAAAAATACTTGCACTTTTTTATATTTTTAATTTGTGCCTTGAATGAAACTTATTTTACTTCTTAAATCATTAACTTGAAAACAAAATGTAAAAAGGTTTTTAAATATATGAATGGATGTTATAAGAAAATTTCTAATCTAATTTTACTTTTTAAAAAAATTGTACGAATTTTCAATAAGCAAGCGTACGAGGTTTGAGGTACGAGAATTTGTCACAGAGCGCGCAGCAACACTGTATCTCCAATTCACAGCTGATGTTTAGAATTACATTTACTGATGTTGCACTAATTAAAAATAAACATAGAAATAATTTACAGACTCTTGCTTATAGATTCGTCAAAGATATGGCGCAATAGTAATTTAATGGTTAAACTATGCTGAATCACAATTTATGAATGGTTCAGTGAAGCATATCTTATGCAAGACTTCAAGTACTCAATAATGATATGGAAGACGAATGGGGTTACATCATATGATTTGGCGGACAAACACATCAAAAACATAATTAACACTAGATAATTATCAATGATTCTGACTACTCTGAATAATTTAATAAATCTATCAAACCGTTAAAGCTAATTAAGAAATAAAAGATATATAAATATATATACATTAGAAAAAAAAATAAAATGTGTGCTTTAAACCACGCGAAAGAAGTAAAAACATCAAAAAGGAGAAATTAATAATATGAAATATAAATTATAAATAATAGTACATTATAAAGCGGATGAAATGCTGACCATTTCTCTTTCTTACAGTATGCAGGTCCGATTTGTAGTTTCTGAGATATTTTAATCCATATTTTCTATAAAACTCTTTAAAATTTTGTTTTCGATACTATTTTTTCCTTTGCGCCTCCCTAATACGACGTCGCATTAAGATACAATTTTGAATAAAAGCTCATTCATTACAAAGAGGATGAAATGATGAACATTTCCTTCTCTAGCAATATGCAGATGTTTAGTTTTTGAGATATTTTAATTCCTATGCAAAAATAATTCAATTAGTCAACTCCAGTCGATTTAATAAATAAGTGTTAGTTATTAGAAAATAACTATTTAAGTCTATAATAAAAATTATCATCAGACTAATGGATTAATTGATTTATCCGAGAACGATATACTTTTTCCCCATTAGTAAAAATACAATTAAATCAAAGAAATCTTCGTCATCTGTGAGGTCGTCAAAGTATTGCATATCCATTTTTACAAGAGAAAAGAGAAATAAAAATAATAATAACTAAGGATTCAGCAAAAACACCGTGGAAGGATATTATAGTTATCAAAGCTAACCCTAGGTAGCTAAGTTTTTCTTTCGAAGTTAAACTTAAGCGTCTATGGTCGACCGATCAAGATTAAACTCGATTGCGAAGTCGAACTTCGTTTGAGTGAAACTTGGTCTAATCTTAGATTACGCTAAATCTAAGTTTTGCTGTGTTGGAGTAACTGGCCCTTAGTAAGTCATAAAACTACAATCCTAAGTTCTTCGCCCAACATGTAGGTTTTGATCTAGTACATTAATGATTAGAGAGAAGGATCCAATATGAGAATTCTCTCTGGGATATAATAGTTAATTAATTATTGTTATTCGATTATCAAATAAAATATTTAATTACTCAAATTGATAGACAACGACACGTTCATATTGTCCTTGAAGACTTACCATTACACCTAGAGGACATGAACTATACCATTGAGCCATCGGGTTCGCTATTGTTGCTGGGAGAGGCTGAAGACCCGGCATTTCCTCCTCTCCTCTGCATACTGAACACTCCTGGAGACTTAATATTCCAGGAAGGTACCACCGTCCGGACCATACCGGGCTCTCCCACATGGAGATATTATTATCCCGAGGATCTGTTACCCAAGGGCACGTGCCTTACCCGAAAAACCCTCTCCGGAGGACTGTAATTAAAGGTTGATGGACGTGGTTTTGATGATCGGGTTCCAACCTCGCTACGTGAAGATGATTTAGCCTACCCTCCGCGACGTTACCGAAGAGGTATTATTCTTTTCGTTTTGTTCGCTTCGCCTATTAAATCATGATAAACACTGGTTATCACCTAAAGTCAGTTTGAGTTGTTATGTTACATTTTGTGTATCACCATGGAAATAACTAACAATGTTTGACATCATTATATATGAGGTGTATATTTATTTAATTTGGAGATGGATATATTCTTGACTGTTATTTTAATATTATGAAAATAACAAATAATCAGGATTCACAGTTTTTATTTTCGGCTCAAGCATGTGGTTATGGATTACCATCATGCCTAACAATTAAAAAGTTTTTTTCTGACATTTAAGACATTTTTTTAAATCAATTTAATAATTATGAGAAACAATAAAATCTGCCACGTTGAAGGGCAATAAGTAATATGGCTACAAGTGCTCATTCATACAATATTTACATACAAAAAGGATATAAATATGAATATTCAAATAAAGTATAAAAAGGTAAAAAGAATTAATATATATATTTTTTTATTATTTCTTAATGATATTTACAACTGTATTAAAGAAATACATTTAGTAAAATTTGAACATATGGATCTAATGGCATGAAAATACTTGTTGAGTAAATACCCAATGGTAGCACTCTAATGGTATGTCTACATTAGATCACGGCGCC